TAATGTATACTATAAATGAGAGTGACTCACTCAGAAGTAGAGTGTTATGTATACTATAAATGAGAGTAGCTCACTCAGTAGTAGAGTGTAATCTATACTATAAATGAGAGTAACTCACTCGGTAGCAGATTGTAATGTATACTATAAATGAGAGTAACTCACTCAGTAGTAGTGTAATGTATACTATAAATGAGAGTACCTCACTCAGTAGTAGAGTGTTATGTATACTATAAATGAGAGTAACTCACTCAGTAGCAGATTATTACGTTTACTATAAATGAGAGTTACTTACAATAGTAGATGAGATGTATTAGGGTTTTGAAATAATGTAGAGCTCTTGATACTTCCATGTCATTATCTGTATTATTCATTAAATGTGGGGTTTTTTTATAAGTCATTCTCTATCTTGTAAATGAATACATCAAAATTTATATTTGTTGAAATATACATTTCATTTTATATTATATTGATAACTTTTGTAATATTCCACTATTTGTCCGTTAAAGATTTAGTATACTACCACTATTAGTCTTATCAAAACTCTGGTATACTACCACTATTAGTCTTATCAAAACTCTGGTATACTACCACTATTAGTCCATCAAAACTCTGGTATACTACCACTATTAGTCCATCAAAACTCTGGTATACTACCACTATTTGTCCATTAAAACTCTGGTATACTACCACTATTTGTCCATCAAAACTCTGGTATACTACCACTATTAGTCTTATCAAAACTCTGGTATACTACCACTATTTGTCCATTAAAACTCTGGTATACTACCACTATTTGTCCATCAAAACTCTGGTATACTACCACTATTTGTCTTATCAAAACTCTGGAATACTACCACTATTTGTCCATCAAAACTCTGGTATACTACCACTATTTGTCGTATCAAAACTCTGGTATACTACCACTATTTGTCCATTAAAACTCTGGTATAATACCACTATTTGTCTTATCAAAACTCTGGTATACTACCACTATTTGTCCTTTAAAACTCTGGTATACTACCACTATTTGTCCATTAAAACTCTGGAATACTACCACTATTTGTCCATCAAAACTCTGGTATACTACCACTATTTGTCTTATCAAAACTCTGGTATACTACCACTATTTGTCCATTAAAACTCTGGTATACTACCACTATTTGTCCATCAAAACTCTGGTATACTACCAATATTTGTCGTATCAAAACTCTGGTATACTACCACTATTTGTCCATTAAAACTCTGGTATACTACCACTATTTGTCCATTAAAACTCTGGTATAATACCACTATTTGTCTTATCAAAACTCTGGTATACTACCACCATTTGTCCATCAAAACTCTGGTATACTACCACTATTTGTCGTATCAAAACTCTGGTATACTACCACTATTTGTCCATTAAAACTCTGGTATACTACCACTATTTGTCCATCAAAACTCTGGTATACTACCACTATTTGTCTTATCAAAACTCTGGTATACTACCCTATTTGTCCATTAAAACTCTGGTATACTACCACTATTTGTCCATTAAAACTCTGGTATAGTACCACTGTTAGTCTTATCAAAACTCTGGTATAGTACCACTGTTAGTCTTATCAAAACTCTGGTATACTACCACTATTTGTCCATTAAAACTCTGGTATACTACCACTATTTGTCCATTAAAACTCTGGTATACTACCACTATTTTCTATTAAAACATTCATTTGCGAATAGACATAAAGGCACCTTGTATAGGTATTGTGAAGATCAAGAAAACAGGATATAAAAACATGCTGGCAAAGGAAATGAGGTATTATTACAAGATTTTACTGTTTAAGAGCGGGCTGTTATATCAATGTTTTACAGTTTTAAGAGGAACATGATGTTGAGCAAATGTTTCTAACTGTTGCACATCATTTAGCGTACCATTAAACGATCCAGTTATAATGCATAATCATTATTGACATTAACTTGTACATTTTCATTACCAGATGTGATATTCACACTGAAATATTTGTTGGGTAAATAACCGTAACAAAATATGTCCACTGATGTTTCTCCTACAAAAATATCAAAAAGTAGAATTTTGCTGACAAGTGTGTATATTTAGTGTCGGTAGACAGGTCATGAATTGTAAATGAAGACAGAAGTAAACAAATAAATTACCCTTGGTCCTCATACTTAATGTATGTACAATATCAAAAACTCCTGGATGACATATTTGACATTCTTTTCATTTCTAGTATTTGAATAATTACAAATAGGTGATAAACCGGAAAAGCTGTGCGACACTCCTCGTTGCCTGCTGACAATAGAGGCAAATTATCCTAGCACTGTTAATATGTACAACTGTGGTTGCCTTAACTGAAATTATCCTTTTGTAAAAAGACATTTTTCTTCTCCAAGCACTTCAACTTAACAGATTTTTTCCAGACGCATTAAAGTATAACAGCCACAGTGTGAGATACTAGTGTAAGGCTTTTGTCAACTGTCTCATTATATCTGTTATCTCTACAGATGACATCTTGAAACTTGCTCTCTTACAATTATGTTTAATTAATTTACAGGTTAACATACAAAAACTCACAACCAAATTATTGTTCTTTATCTTTCATTTCTGAATAAAAAAAAAAAAAGTTTCATATTGTTTTAACTGTTTTGATTTATTTCATTGTGCAAGTACACAAATAAAACTTCTGACTTTGTTTAATAATAAAGGTAAATAATAAAGATAAGATATATCAGTTTCTTAGGCGACAAGTAGTGGGTATTTTATCACTTATCAGTCAAAAATCAACAAAGATGACTACAGTTGTGGGTGATCAATACTCAGGTCTTTTAAAGTGGGCGTAACGGATACTGTTGAGTGGGAGTTCAGCACTCCTCAGCATTGACAGAAGGAAGGGCACCTACTATGTCTTCGTTGTAAAGGGTCAAGACACACATGTCAAAAATCTCGTAAAATACACACTTTTAAAAAACTACAAGGATTAGAATATTCATACTTGCTATTTAGAGTAAACAATTATTTCTGATTGTAAAATATAATCATGAAAAAAATTATCGTAGGATAAGTGTGTATTTATAGTAACTGTTTCAAGGTGTACTGGTCTGATTCAGGTAGTATGCAATTCTTAATATGACAATCATTTACAGTAGACCCTTAGCTAAAAGGACGTCAATGGAAAACACAAGAGTGATCAATCTTTAACCAAACCACTCGTCTTTAATCCATATTTTATTCTTATGAAAATAGGAAATTATTGCTTTAACTACCCTATTTCATATCTTAATCCTACTTCTCTTTCTTTGTTTAAATTGAACTATAAATTTTATAAAGTTTTTATTTTATTGTAAAATTTACTTAGTTATGGAGGTCCAGGACGTTTCAATGTATGACACCTAAATCATCATTAAGCTCACTGTGAAAAATTTATCATTCTGTCATTTCTACTGCAGTCTGATCTGAAATTTTCTACAACATTGTCAAGATACCTCATCTTTCATTTTATCTTCAAAAATATCCATTATTATCCAAAACTCTTTCCAGTTTGATTTGAAAATGTTACCTATCTGTGCCTTCTATCATTGGCAGATACATGGACTTTGATATATGATAGGATGTAAAGTTTGAGGAGATCCCTAACAACAGTGAGTCAACAGATACAAGTGTCAGCATGTATCTCTAGCCCTTTATCACACAGAATATCAGACTGGTTCTGATGGATGAGAAAGCATTAGATTTAAACAAGTTTTAACCCTCCCTGGATATGATTACAGAGCCTGACATTCATATTCTTGGTTCAGGTCTTTTGAATTTTAACCACATATTTACCATACACTAAACACAATACTCATTCAAATAACCTTATCTGGGACTAGGAGATTTTTTTTTCTATAATATCATTAAAGTTTTGACTAAAATTTTATCCTGCTTGTTTCTTCTTTAACTTATAACAGCATAAAGCAAAGTTTGTATAAAGCCTAACGATTTGGTTTTTGTATTGTTTGACGAAATACTCTCTCACAGTAAAACACATCAACATGAGACCTTCATGTCATCAAAATTCATTTTTTGTTTTTATTTATGTTTTATATTTCATTTTATCTAACACAGGAAAAAGTTGTAACTTTTAGTACCCTCTATCTCTGTTATATTATTTTGATAAAACAATTGAAGGTGAAGTTGGCAATCGCTGCTGAACGAATCACTCAATTTTCAACAGACAACAAATAGGTCTCACTAAGTCCATGTTTATGTCAGTTATCAACATCACACCAAATGATCTTATGTATGGAAGATATTCTTAAAATTTAACATTACTTTGTTATTGTTTGAGGTGTTTTGAAAAAATATAGAGGCAAAATTTGCTTTCTTTTAAAAACCATTGATACAGCTATGATAACAGCACTGGTTTCATATTTAAACCTGAAAACCCTAATGTTCTTCAAAATGGTGGTACAAATTATTCATTACTACATAAAAATAATTTTTATAAAATGATTTTATTGAAGGTGTTTGTTTAAGAGTGTGCCCTGATGTGTAAGATTGGGTACTTGGGGTTAGAGTTGAGCCTCTTTCTGGTGTGAAGGGCTGACATGTGTCAAACAGGAAACCTGCATGCTTATTAGCTACTGAATCTCTATATGGTGCTATCAACAGAGTGTACAACAGAAACAGAGGAGAGGTTCATATTTGTGTTACTCCGGACCATTCTTGTGAATGTGAATGGTAATTTAGAATCTCCTAGCAATACAAATATATATGCAGGTGGTAGCAAGACTTAGTCTTCGCATGTGCTATGTTCGCGCACTTTTATGACACAAAATTATGTAGCTGAAGCATCACATGAAAACAAAAGGAAGCAACGAGTCTGATAGCTCAAACACAATGGCAAAGTGAATCTAACAAGCATAAAACATGATTAAATCAGATTAAAAAACAGAAACAAACAAGAAATGATAAAAACTTTGTAAAATCAAACATTTATTCAACTTTGTAATATGACCCAGAAAGGTTATAATAATTTTACAAAAAATAAACCATTCATATATATAATCTTTATATAGAATTTTATGTTAAAATCCAGCAGTATCATATCAACACTAGGAAGGGAGATAACTCTAACCTTTTTTGAAGAATTTATTGATTTTTTACACATCTTAGAGTATAGGAATGAGTGTGAGGGTTGGCTTGTGGATAGCTACACTCAAATCTGTTGCTCTTCAAGAGGGGGGCTCATATTCAAGTTTTCTCAACTTCTCTCCAATTCTACTTCACAATTCTCATCATATTTATCACTCTCACTCACATATCTTACATTTTTATACAATTTCAGCACTTCATTTAAACACTATATGTCAGTTTATATGATAAGTCTTTTATTCAGACACTTTCACTCCATCACAGATATGTAGAGGTCAATAAAGTTTTACAAAGTTACTCAAACTTAATGCAAAGTAGATTTTCCTATTTACATATCACTAATATATCATCTCCCTAAATGAATCTCTACATATATAGGTTGCATTCTGAGGCATTGCATGAATTATTAAAGTGACCAAATAATCTACCTTCAAACATCTTGGTCCATTTCATATGACTAGAAAGTTTCATATGGACTAAGAAATGTTAAATACAACACTTTTTGTATGATCTTTACACCATTTACAACATCAAAATCTCACAATACTGAACAAACATGAAATTAAAACAACAGAAAAGCATTCATAAACAAAATGTTGGCAGTGAGAAACAATAGGCATTCTAAATAATTCATGTTCAAATGAAATATTGTGGCCACATAAATTCCAAAAAATGAAAATTTGAGACAAAAAATGAAATCAAAATAATAATGAAAAAATAATATCACAAGTGTCAAAGAGAATATTTTGCCTTGACAACACTTTACAACAGTCACTGGAGCAGAGGAAGGAGGTGGTCTGCACCTCCAGGAAGGAAGCACGGACAAACGGACTGAAATCCGAGGCGATTGCACAACACTGAATGTGTCCCCCATGATAACGGAGAAAACATGCATGGTGACACAGGCTTAACTCCACTCGTCATCCCATAGCTGGCCCTGAAAGTGGTGTAAAACAGTGGATGAAGCGTCTGTCAGGGTATGAAATACCACAACGATAACACAGCATGCAGGCCCGGTCCCTTCCCCGCCACGCCTCAGTCAACTGTGGTCAGTCCAAGATTCTCGACCAAACACTAACCTAAGCTAGATAAACCCAGTAAAGTGCACACTTCCCTATACAAACTTTCTGTGCTGCCGAACGATACTTTTTATCTACTTTATTGCCATTTAAAAAAGTTTTGTACAAGGTTATAAAAGTTTTGCTGTGAGTGAGTTTTCTTGTCTGAAGTGGCTATGGGTTGGCGTTTAGCAGGGGGAGGGTGGGGTGTGAGAGTCTAGTGCTTGCCTTCTTCAGCTATACACAACAAAGCCTCTACTACCTCTGCTTCCTGCTCTGCCTGTCTCTCCTGCTGCTGGCGATACTGTCGTTGTCGTTCCTCAAACTCGCGCAGCCGTCGGTTATACTGTTCTATCTGATCTCTCAGCATCGCCGCTTCCACCTGCGGAAATACAAAACAGGGACATGATGGGTCAGCAGGCAAAGTGTACACAGGACACGAGCCCTGTGGGTTCCACACCCTTCTTTCTCACACAGCATCATACCAGCACCATGCACAGCGTCCGCCAACAGCTTTCGCATCACACAACAACTTTTGACATCCTCTCACTTTTGGATGCAAAAAAGTTGAAAAGAGTTATAAATTATTACACTTTTCGCTCATTTAATGAAAAAAATATCTTCTTATTAGTTTCACCTGGTGTTTTTAGTGCTTTCATCATTCAATTAAGGGGACACACTCCGATAACGTGTGCTCAGGCTTAAGAAGTTTACGCAGTCGCCAGCTGAAACCACGCGGCCACATGCATCCCTAGGTCTCAGTCCCAGGGGTGTATCTAAAAACATTTCATCTTCAGTGTGCACGAGTTAAACATCATCAGCTGCCAATCTCAATGTGTTTCTTTTTGAAAATCCAAACAATGTAAAATTTTAATTGGTTTTTAAAGTTATTTTTCTTTGCCATACCCTTTAGGCCTATGAGTTTGCCTGCTACATATGGTAGAGATGTGAACATTTGCTGGGCCTATTACAAACTACTCTCTAATAAAAGCCAAGCAAGTTTGATGCCAGCTGACTTCTACTTCAATCCATGGCTTTTATTGATTTTTTCTTTGTCTTATTGTTTCCATTGTCCCAGGGAAAACTTTAATTTCCCTCTGTTGCAGAAGTAGAGACTTATGAAATTCATCTGGCAGTTTGGGTTAGGTGACCCTGGCATGAAGCATTAAGGGTCTTACACACAAAATCTGGATGCAAACTTCACATGTAAAAATTAAAAAGTGTGTGGAACTTGAACAAGCCCATGATGGGTGTCTTTGTTTCCTTTGTGCTGGCTACTGGTACTGGAAACAGGAGGAAACAGATGCAACCAACATAGGGGTCAAACATCACCATGTAACTGAGTCCATACTGTTTCAACCTCACTCCATTGGTTTGAACCATGCAAGCAGCCTTCGTCTCAACTACACAGCTTCCTAATTGTGGAAATACTACACAAAAAAGCACTTTAACTGCAGTTAGCTAATAGTGGGATAAGAAACATGAAGTAACATATGGCTTGATTAAGTCTGTCCCCCCTCCAGACAGCCAGCCAGCCACCCCTGCACCCAGGTCAGGCAGCAGAGTAAGGGTAGATAAGGCAGTCTGTCTACCCACACAGTAGGCAACTCAGCACTGTTGGATTGGTCGGTCTGGGGGCTACAAGGAGTCCTGACCAAAGTGCGGTGCCCATTTCCAAAACCTCGTGACCACAACACCGCTACAGCTGCTTCTTCTTGTCCCCCCCATAATTTACAGCCTGGGTGTGTACGATAAAACAGGAAAATATCAGAGGCAAAGAATAATTAAATATTACTGATTAATTATTGGAATTTCACAGAGCTATTGAGAGAGGCATGAAAAATTGTATAGTGTAGGAAACACATCCCAAATCAATCATCTCCAACCAAACAAGCACAATTTAATCAGACATCACCACAAGACTTAATGATGACATTAATATTCATTTCTGCATTCAATGTGCTAATATTCTTTGCAGAAGTTTTATTAAACATTTCCAAAAAAATGGGTCTGAAGCGCCAAACACGCCAATTGCAGTCGAGCACCTGATGTTTAATTAAGCACCACACCAGAGAAATGTTTAGAAGGACAATCATAAACCATTTTCTCTTGCAAAGTTCCGCTTTAGACCAAAATTAGAGGAAATGTTTATCTTTGGGTGCACTGATTAACGACGTCGAAATGTCAACATACCATGCCAAACAAGCCAAACTGTACATTATAACCAGAACTAAACATCTCCTCACCATCTCCCATATGTTGTGTGGTTAGAAGCTGGTAACATTGCCTAAAGCATCTCTCGCACAAAACACATATCACAGAAGGCAAGACTTAGGGCATTCCAGGCAGCTCCAAGACACAGGAACAAGGAAACAGCCACAAATTGGACCAACAGTACTTATTGTTATTATCACATAACAATTTATTGGACAAATTTGGTTTGGAAAAACATCAAATGTCCAAAGGCATTCAACTCTTTTGATAATTGTTGTTATGCAGAAGGAGAAATAAATATCAAATATTGATTTTTTTTTTGTACCTGTTTGTCCTACCAAATCAAACTCTGACTTGACCACAAACAACAACAATTGTAAACTAGTGTGGGGGAAAAACACATTCACAATGCCAATACACCTTGTTTACAAATCTGGCTCTGACAGGTTTTCAAATTTCACAAATAAGCAACTTCATTGTGATATTATCTCCTCCTTTCATTGAAGAGTTCCACTACTGTGGTACAAACCTAACATAATAGAAACAGGAAATGTTAAGAGTACCCAGCATTCATACAGCTTGTAATGGGTTCACCGCGACACTCTTACAAATTGGGAGTCGTCTGAGAGTAACAACACATACTTGATTACCATGGCAACAACAGGTATATACTGCCTGTTTTTAGGCCCTAACATCAAGTCTAGAATTTCTATCTAGAAAAAAACTTTCATAACCTCAACCTATCAACTAGGTCTCACTCAATGACTTTGTTAAATGCACTCTTTAAGCTTCATTGGACAAGACATCAGATTGATGTTAGACTAATACTGTAAATAAAACACGTAACGTAGTCTAGTCTCTAGCAAACATCCAGCTTGTCAACTCTATTACTACCTAAATCAACATGGATATGATGAAAAATCACAAAACAACAACATTAATTATATATGATATTTTTGAAGATCTATTTATTTAACATTTTTTAATCAAAATTTTCTTGTTTAACACTGCTTGTTTATCATTTTAAGCAATAGATTTATATAAATATACACCATTATTACTATTGTTTTATTCAGACATGAAAGAATTATTCATATTTAATTCTATTTCAATGAAAATTACAGAATATTTATATCATCTATCATCAAAATTAATGTATCTTTTTATTCATGCTGGTACAGTCCCCTATTCTAATACTACAGAAGTATTAAATAAATTTTATTCTTCAATTAAAACCTAAATTTTAATAAAAGAGGAAAAAATTGAATTAACTTCAATTAATTTGAATTATTTCTTGTTCAGATATTGGTACTCTAATTCGTTGCTGCGTTAAATCAATCAATAATTATACGATGAATTATTGCCATTTAAAATTCCTTTTCCAATTTACATTCATTTTAGAATTCTGAGGTTTACCAATTTTACAACATTATTAACCAAGAAATTATTCACAAAGATTATTTAAAGAAAAGTAGGAGTTTGTCACAAATTTACAGTCAGTGCTCCATGATTTTGTAGGGTGTTAGAATAGATTTCAAGTGAGCTTATCGTAATATTTCAAGACTGAAAGACATTTCTCAACATTCCCATTAATCAAGATGATTCTGATGGACTAGTTTTCCACAGTGTGACCCTGAACCGCCCCCCTCATCCAATTCTGTCACCTTTTGAAGAGTTTGCAATCTGTTTCACTTTTCCAAATTTCAACAGATGCAGAACAGAGACCATCAGAAGAGGTGCATAATCCATGGTGGAACAAGGCTGTGTTTATCCAAAGACAACAACACTAAAGCTGACAATTTCTATCATCATGATGTATTGCTACATATGCTTCAACATTACTCTTGACAAATTGTATCAAATTGCTCTTCCCAAGTTGTGCTGTGCAGCGATATTAAAGCAAAACACCCCTATATGTGTATAATATCTGAGATACTGCAATGTAAGGAGTTCCTTCCCATGTTAGAACTCTCCAGTCACCAGAGGTATTTCATTCCTACTCTTTATGAATACCAATACCCTCTTTATAAACCATTTTCTTACATATGCCTCAAGTCATTCCTCTATTTCATCTTTAAATATTCAGTTTTGTTTCATATGGAAATGTATTAGTTGTAAAGTAGAATTGAATAAGAATGAATACTGAACAGTTAATATATATGTTAATTATATTAAGTATTTAATATAAATAAAATACACCGATTCATTTTTACATGAAAATATATGCTATATACTAGTTATGCTAAACAAAGATGACTGTAGTAAGTTTATTCAAGTTGGTGCTAAATTTACCTTTACATTAAATGTAGCCTAGTTTGTTTACCTCGTCAGTTTTACCTGTATATAAAATGTAGCCTAGTTTGTTTACCTCATCAGTTTTACCTGTACGTAAAATGTAGCCTGCTTTGTTTACCTCGAGAATTTTACCTGTATATAAAATGTAGCCTAGTTTGTTTACCTCATCAATTTTACCTGTACATAAAATGTAGCCTAGTTTGTTTACCTCGTCAGTTTTACCTGTACATAAAATGTAGCCTAGTTTGTTTACCTCATCAATTTTACCTGTACATAAAATGTAGCCTAGTTTGTTTACCTCGTCAGTTTTACCTGTACATAAAATGTAGCCTAGTTTGTTTACCTCATCAGTTTTACCTGTACATAAAATGTAGCCTAGTTTGTTTACCTCGTCAGTTTTACCTGTACATAAAATGTAGCCTAGTTTGTTTACCTCGTCAGTTTTACCTGTACATAAAATGTAGCCTAGTTTGTTTACCTCGTCAGTTTTACCTGTACATAAAATGTAGCCTAGTTTGTTTACCTCGTCAGTTTTACCTGTACATAAAATGTAGCCTAGTTTGTTTACCTCGTCAGTTTTACCTGTACATAAAATGTAGCCTAGTTTGTTTACCTCGTCAGTTTTACCTGTACATAAAATGTAGCCTAGTTTGTTTACCTCGTCAGTTTTACCTGTACATAAAATGTAGCCTAGTTTGTTTACCTCGTCAGTTTTACCTGTACATAAAATGTAGCCTAGTTTGTTTACCTCGTCAGTTTTACCTGTACATAAAATGTAGCGTAATTTGTTAATCTTGTTAGTTATACCTGTACATCAAATGTTACTTAGTTTGTTTAGCTTGCCAATTTTACCTTTGCATTAGCGGTGGCCTAGTTAAACTTTGCTTTTGCTTTTCCAAATGAGTTAACCATTACTTTTTGCACAAAAACGAGTTCTGCACACCAGGTGAGTAAACTTTTGCAAACCAAATGAACTAAATGTTTACCTTTGCCCATCAAATGAACTTATGTTTGCTTTGGCCCAACAAATTAACCTTTTCTTTGGCAATCAATATGAGTTAACATTTTCTTTTGCTCACCAGATGAGTTAACCTTTTATCTTGGCACGTTTAATGAGCTAATCATTTGCTGTAAGCACAACATATGAATTAATGAATCTTCTGCTGTAGGAGATCCAAATGAATTAATGATTTGTCAATTGTTGTTAGCACACCAACAAATTTAATATTGCCTTTCATACATAAAAAGATGAGTTAACCTTAATGGCACAGAGGTACAACATGAAAATACTAACATACTGATATAATCTTGATTTGTACTGAAGGAACGGCAAAATATGAATGATAGAATGAAATTTTTATACAGAAACTCTTGAAAAATCACTTTAAATCATTCATTTTTGTGGAAGACATGTCTTCATTGATTTTATTGTTACACTTAATCCATAAATTCATTTGTCCATGAACTGTGAAAAGTAGTAATAAGTACATTCATAGAGCTTTATTTGTCTATGTTATCAAATGGAAATATAAAAAAGATATTTCTTTTTAAAACATGAAATCTGAGCCCCACAAAAATATGATTTCACAGTATCAGGAAAATGAGACCAGGTGTTCTGGAAGGGTATGTTTTTTCTGGTCCATTGATGACATCCACAAAGTAATGTCACAATATCAAATTAGAACCAGGTTTCTTGAAAGGTATACATAACAAAGCAATTAAACACATCAAATTTCACATTACACAAAGAAATAAGAGATCAATTCGGCAATCAATAAACTTCACAGTATATGTCATCACCCTGTATATCTCAATACCCTGTGAATGAACTTTTTCTGTTTGTAGGCCAAATGATGTTACCTCTGTGTGGTTAGCACACCAAATAAATTCAACTTTGCTGCTGACATCAAATGAGTTGAAATTTGCTGTTAGCTCAACAGATGACTTCACATATACATTTTACATATACTTCTATTACCGACACACCATATGACTTAATCTGTGTTTTTCATACCCCAAATGAGTTTATTTCTACTTTGAGTTTACTTCTACTTCTTCGCTCATACCAGTTGAGTAAATCAGTGTTTTTCATGCCCTAAATAAATTTATCTCTACTCTGAGATTACTTCTACTTCTTTGCTCGTGCCAATTGAGTAAATCTGTGCTTTTCATGTCTAAATGATTTAGAATTTGCTCCTCAAATACCACATCTGCATGGTAATTTTTTTCCTTCACACACACTATACATCAGTTGTTTTCTGCTGAAAGGGACATAAACCTAATATGTAAAAATAAAATAAATATATATGCTTACCTCTGCTCGTTCTGAGTCAAATTCTAAACATGCTACTCCATCGAGTCGATTTAAGTCCACCCAACCCCGCCATATCACACATACACCATTCATTATAAACTGTGATTTTAGGTGAACCTGAAACAAACAAGATTATTTTAGGTAACCAACCGTAACAAAATGATCATGTGATCAGCTAGAATTAAAATATCAGTAAATGTTTCATGTTTTCTTAAAGTGGACAAGAATAATAAAGTTAATAAGGACATACTATTAACAGGAACAAGTCTTCAAAATAACAAAAAATAAAGTCTTTATTTTGGTGTTATATGTCTTCGCTGTATATATGTTGTACTGGACACCAGTAAGACATTGTAACAAGACTTTTCTGTATATATGTTGTACTGGACACCAGTAAGACATTGTAACAAGACTTTGCTGTATATATGTTGTACTGGACACCAGTAAGACATTGTTGTAACAAGACTTTTCTGTATATATGTTGTACTGGACACCAGTAAGACATTGTAACAAGACTTTTCTGTATATATGTTGTACTGGACACCAGTAAGACATTGTAACAAGACTTTGCTGTATATATGTTGTACTGGACACCAGTAAGACATTGTAACAAGACTTTTCTGTATATATGTTGTACTGGACACCAGTAAGACATTGTAACAAGACTTTGCTGTATATATGTTGTACTGGACACCAGTAAGACATTGTTGTAACAAGACTTTGCTGTATATATGTTGTACTGGACACCAGTAAGACATTGTAACAAGACTTTTCTGTATATATGTTGTACTGGACACCAGTAAGACATTGTAACAAGACTTTGCTGTATATATGTTGTACTGGACACCAGTAAGACATTGTAACAAGACATTGCTGTATATATGTTGTACTGGACACCAGTAAGACATTGTAACAAGACTTTGCTGTATATATGTTGTACTGGACACCAGTAAGACATTGTAACAAGACTTTGCTGTATATATGTTGTACTGGACACCAGTAAGACATTGTAACAAGACATTGCTGTATATATGTTGTACTGGACACCAGTAAGACATTGTAACAAGACATTGCTGTATATATGTTGTACTGGACACCAGTAAGACATTGTAACAAGACTTTGCTGTATATATGTTGTACTGGACACCAGTAAGACATTGTAACAAGTCTTTGCTGTATATATGTTGTACTGGACACCAGTAAGACATTGTTGTAACAAGTCTTTTCTGTATATATGTTGTACTGGACACCAGTAAGAATATATTTTTGCCTGATTTAGCAATAATTAACCTTTATGTTGACATTATCAATTACCAGACAAAGAATTGACACAAACTGCACGGGACATCAATATCATATGATATAACAGACAATGAGAAACCTTTAAATAGCCCTGAAATATACAGCAAAATTTGTAACTCTATATTGATTTTGTAAACATTAATTCACAATTATTTGTAAGTAGAAACACCCTAATTTAGAAATTGCTTTAAGACATACACAACCATTGATTTATTTATATCCACCTAATACAGTGTAACAGAAATGTATCAATTAACCTGATTTATCACTGATGTATTCTGATGGATTCTAGGTGTTAACACTCTCAGCAAACGTACTGAAAGATCTAATGGTCCATTTACAGGGTCATAAAGTCACCTTAGTGTGCGATGCTTTGTTTCTCATTTATTATTGAATGGATGTATGTTTCATTAAATTTTATTTACGATTAAGTGACAGAGAAACCTTTTGACAAGTAACCCATGTAGAAATAATCATCCACACATCAACCAGTGATGAATAAAAAACATGAATTTAATACTATTTTACTGTATCATAAATGTTCTGTTAATGCAGTATAAAATGTTTTGCAGACTTGGCAGCCAAGTAAATGACAGTGTTTTTTTTAATCACAGATGTACACTTGAGGCCAATCCTTGGATCTCCCCACTCTGCAAATTAAGATAAGGAGGGTTTAAAGTCATCCAGAGTGGGCTGTGGAGGATGGCTTTACAGTGTAGGTCATGGACCAGACAAACCTTAAAACTGTTAAAATGAAGGATTTGTGTGTGAAAAATGAACCATATCCATACCGTCTGTCAACTTTTACTTAATACTGAGGCAGTCCATTTAAGACATTCAGAGTTTAAATTACATCACACCTGTCCATAAATACTTTTAGTTTGTAAGTAGCTCTAAATGTGAAGACATCAGAAACTCATTTTTAACAGGATATGCTTAACTTTTACTATTTCAATTAAAAATAAAGAACAACTTTTGATATGTTAATGCTATCTATTCCTTTCGAAGATCACAAAATAAAAACAATTTGTAATAAAACCCTATACAAGTCATAATCTTTGTATTTAGACAATGAATGTCTTGAAGATGAAATGTAATAGGTTGTACAGTATTAGACACATGTTATCTAAATGTATTATCTTCCTTAGGAACAGAACCTATATATATGGTGCTAGGAATGATGTATTTAATTTTCCATTAAGTTAACATCTTTTCCTTCTGATAGTATTTTTCAATCTTTCTTCTATTGATCACTAATTTTTCTTTCTATCCACTTTCTCCAGTGAATTGATCATTTTGTAATTATAGAAAAGTTATCAACCTGTTTTTCGATAAATACAATGATCATCATATTTATATAAAAACAAGTTGTTAATTATATATTAATGTCATTTTATTTGAGTCTCTAATTGCTTTTAATAATATATTTTGAAAAGATAAGTTTTTTTCCTTAAACAAAAATAAAAAAAAGTTGTATACGCTGTTTATTCAGTAAATATCACAGTTTTTTTATTTTTGTTTAAGTAAAAAGAAACTTCACTTTCCATCTATTTTGCGAATATCAGATATACTTTTTATTTGTGAGTTTAAACTTTAAAGAAACAAAATATTTATCTGCAATGTGGTGTCAGTTTTCCCCCCAATCATGTCGGACATGATAGCTTGATTATAAACATCTGTTAACATCCCTGTAGGAGTCGAGGAATGTAAAATATCAGTGAGTAATTCCTGCGATGAGATTTCAGCATTGAGAAGAATAAACAGCATATCACTAAATCTGTACAAGCCTCTATTCTCCCCTACCTTTTTAAATGTGGGTGGTTGTTAGGGTTACACTAATAAATAGGTCATCTGATTCACCCTCCTCCCCATGTCTAGGGGGGTCACTGGGTACAAATGTGGGGCGGGGATGGGCATTGACATTTGACTTCTCACAATAGAAGAGGGAGAAACACACAAGTCACTCACTACCTCTGTAATATACATACTTACAGTAACACTTCACAGCACATAAAACAGCTGTAGCTGGTTAGTCATTGAAAAATGGGGAAAACCCAGGAAATACTGACACAGTACTTCTTCATCTACAGACAATACACACATTCTTCCCTAATCCTACTCTCAGTTATACTATTCTGAATAACTTTCTTACAGTTGAATTCAGACTTGCGTATGTTTGACTTTAGTAACCATTACTTTGAAATGTTTTAAGTTTAACACTAATTAAAATATAGCTTGTTTTCTTCTAATCATATCTGTATGTCAAAAGCTGAATTTAATTTCCAACTGCGCAGTAACGAAGATGAAACGATGAACAGACTTTACTTTTATCTGGTTAAAAAAAAAAAAACGTGCATCACTACCAGTATGCGACATCTCCGACCTGCTGGCAAGGTTGACAGACACACATCAAAATATCACATAGAATAGTTGCCCTTGGGCACTCTCCCGTCCGCCTAACACTAAACCAGTTATCGCCTGTTAAATCAATCTCTCCATAAATGCTTCCAATAATATGTCTTTTTTTGAATTTCTGGAGTTGAAAATTTCCTTAAAGTTTAAACAAATGCTTTTCTACCCCATATCACTTGTAAGTCATGAGAATTTTAAAGAGTCCTCCTGATTCTAGAGGTATCATTGGTACTCTCACTTATTTCCTGTCTTGATTTATTAGGTTAACAATTACTGGTGAGACAATCCAGACACAGTTGGTAACTGTGATAGGTTTCCATGAAAATCAACTTCAGCGGGGAGTCAATTGACTGTTTGTGATTATTGTAGAAGTAAATATTGGAAACATAACAAGATATATTGTGCTGAACATGTGTGATATGACGAACACAAATCCTATGTGACGTATCTATCTATACGTAACAGATTATACCTGTGCTCAGGTACCTAAATGCTTAACGAGCATTAGGTGTGGTTGTTTCACCTAAGAATATATGCGGCCGTCATCATTTAGATAACATGTTGTTAACAGGGACATAAATTTGAAACCAATATAAACAAGTTATGGATATTCATAAAGGGTCAAAAATTGTGATTCATTAAAAATTTGATAATATTTTCCAAAAAAGTGTCTTTGTACTGCCTGTTTCACTGATTTTGTATTTATTAGAACGTTGTTTCTATCTATGTATTAATATTATTGAAAACAGTGCTTCATTAATTATGTAATCAAAAACAAATTAAACATAAACCTTTTCTTCAGTACCCTCTAAAGCCAAAAATGGCACTAATATCAAAAACACATTAATGACAGGTAACCATTTAGCATGACGTACATGCTAATTTAAAACGCAAAATAAAGACGTCAACAATTTGTTTAGATGTGAACCTGTAATTGATTGCATTTACTATGCTTAATGAACATTCATATTATACACCATTAAAACAATACGTATTGAAAAAAAGGAAAGAAAGATTTAGAAATTAATCCTGTAGGTGACAAACAACTACACATGTAAACATATTGTGATTTCTCGCAGTAGCAATTGTCACCCCACCATTACAATTCTGTTTGATTGACAAAGCATACATTTCATGCCTCAGCAAGTTCTCTGTATTGATTTCAATTGTCAAGACTCATCCCACTTAGCCGCAAGCTTTTTTTTCACTGATTTTTGCGTTGTTTTAGGTTGGCCACACTCACAGTGTTTTCAGGGATTGACAAATCTTTCTAACACCACAGGACATGGCCAGCAGTAACACTAGGACCATCAATGTTCCGGTGTTCGATAACATTGCTCTTGTATTTTGATTGTTACACATCCTGGCATGTAATGCTCAACAACGTGTGCAGTAATTTGAAT